GCACCTTTATAGTAGCTAACACTGGAAAGAACAGAAATGTCCATCAACAGAATATCCATGTTCTTTTGTTCTGGAGAAAAGAAATTGGGGTCTATTCACACAACAAAGGGCAACTCAGAAAGGGACCATCTCCTGTTAATGCACCATGACTGATGGATCCCCAAATCATACTGTTTCATGAAAGAATCCAGATTCAAGATTACATACTACATGCTTATGTTTATATGAAGATCAAAGCCAGACATAACCAATCTGTGGTAATGAAAAAAATCAACACAGTATTTGCCTTTGGTGGAGTTGGAGGTCAATTTGAAGAAGTGTAAAGGAAGTTTCTCACATAATGGACACACTCTCATGTTTATCCATGTGATGATTACCAGATGTGATGGCTAGTTTTATGTCAACTTGACATAAGCTACAGTCATCTGAGACAAGGGAACCTCGATTGAGAAAATGCCTCCATAAAATCAGACTGTAGGCAAGCCTTTGGAGCATTTTCTTAATTAATGATCAATGGGAGAGGGCACAGCCCATTCTGGGTGGTGCCATCCCTGGGCTGGTGGCCCTCAGTTCTATAAGAAAACAGGTGGAGCAAGTCCGTAAGCAGCACCCCTTCCATGGTTTCTGCATCAGCTCCTACCTCCAGGTTTCTGCTGTGGTTGAGTTCCTGTCCTGACTTCTTTTGATGATGAACTGTGATGTGAAAGCATAAGCCAAATGAAATCAGTCCTCCCCAACTTGTTTTTGATCATGATGTTTTATCAGGTTAGCAATAGTAACCCAACTAAGACACCAAGAGTTTACATTTTCCAAATATATTGATTCCAAATATTTAAGATCTGTGTATTAACCGAGTGCTGCTAATTAAGCCTCAATAAAATGATGTTACTTCTAAAAGAATCAGTAACTTAGACCACAAACAATATGCCTCTAAACAATTTTCACATTTATGTGCTAATGTGATGAGAGAGACATCAGAGACAACTTTGAAATTAGAAAAGAATATTGTACAACCTATCAAATATAAGAAAACACACACACACACATAACTCCATTATGAAACTTCGTGCTATGAATTGTTAGGATGGTGCTACACTGGTCATAGGAATGATTTCTGTTATGTCTTGAATTTTAAATGTTTCCTGCTATGTATTGAAGGGTTGATCCTCAGTTCAGTAGTACTCAGTGGTGGGGTGTTTGTTTGGAAAGTGACTGGATCATAAGGACCTTATGAATTGATTAACACATTTATGGATGCATACCTTAGAGGGTTTGGGGAGGAGAAGAGCCTTGTCATAAAGCTCCCTGTCCTTGAAAACCATAAGGTATAAGCAGCTTGGTTCACATAATGTGCTTCTGGCTACCTTGCCGTGGAATCAGAAATAACAGAGCCAAGTGATCATGGACCAAAATCTCTGAAACTGTGAACCAGAATAAGCCATTCTTCCTTATAGGCCAATTACTACTGATATTTTGTTACAGTGAGGGACAGATGGATAATTCTAATTGACTAATTTAATCAAGTCATAGCAAAACCTCAATAGTGTCTGTTTTTTATTATTTTACCTAGAAACTGTTGCCAAAAATCCATGTATATACTTTTTTGATGGAAAGTTTGTTTCCTTGGAAAGAATATTTTAGATATTGCAATAAAATCTCATGTGAATTAAAAAATTCACATACTAAGCACAAATAACCTTACATATTCCACAATAACTTAATGAATTTTCAGTAGTTTAATAAATTTCAACAGGTATTACAACAATTAGGCTAATATTTGACAAAAAAGCATAATTATAAAGTAAAGGTGGCTATTAGTCGGAATCTAATTTTGAAAATCAGTCTGGGGGCTGGAGAGATGGCTCAGTGGTTAAGTGCACTGACTGTTCTTGCAGAGGACCAAGGTTCAATTCCCAGCACCCACATGGCAGCTCACAACTGTCTGTAATTCCAGCTCCAGGGGGCCCAACACCCCCTCACAGACATACATGTAGGTAAACACCAATGGACATTAAACAAAGATAAATAAAATATTTTTTTAAAAAAGAAAGAAAAGAAAATCAGTCTGACAATAAATGTTGCTGTATAATTTAATTTTTCTGTATATAATTAATAAAAACACATTATAGACATATTTACTAAGAAAATGATAATGAACATAAATGTTATTTTAATTTCCATAAAGACCAAGTAAACATGTTCATTACCATAGCTCTTTAGAATTTCATTGCTGAATAGGTTCTGTGAGTGGGAAACAAAAAACACATTCTGAGTAGAAAAAAAAAACCCAATTATTTTCTACATACTTTTTTCATCCATAGCTGATCATGTAGGCTTAGCCAGCTGTGGTGTTGAACTCTACCCAACAAGAATGAGAAGAAGCCTGTGGATTCCACTTCATAACAATACACTATTTCCCTACAAAATACTTGCTCTTAAATATATCAGGCTGCAAAGAAAATTTACATGATTTGTAATGCTAAATTTCTCTGTGAAAGAAAAAGCTAGGGTAAAACATGAAGTCTATATGGCCAAAGACTTGTCTCTGTGTGTATGTGTGTATGTGTGTGTGTGTGTGTGTGTGTGTGTGTGTGTGTGTGTGTGTATGTGTGTGTGTGTGTGTGTGTTTGTGTGTATGTGTGTATGTTTGTGTGTGTGTGTGTGTGTGAGAACTAGCCTCCTCATAATGATATTTTTACTTAAAACATAGCTCACAGAGCTGACTGACTTTAAGCACCATGGAGGAGAACATCAGGGTATCTTGTTCTTGGGCAAATGGGAGTATTCAGAACAAAGTAAGAAAACTCAGCAGGGCCAGCTTTGCACTGTGGCTATGCACTCCCATCTGAGAGTAGAGTTGTAGCTAGGAAGTGGCTGCCCATCAGGGACACTGCCTCTGAAGTAACTGGAGTATATGGTGAGTTTCTGTCAATATGATGTGAGTGGAAATACTCTGAGCTATCTCCACCTCTGTCAGATAAAAACATCCACTAACCCCTGCTTGCCAGATGGATGCCAATGCTAAGGCATATTAAATGTTACCTTACCAAAGAGCCTGAGTCACCAAAAATCTCTGTGGATCTTGCTGTTATAAGGTAAAGGAGCAAATGAATAAACTTTTAACATATTAGAGCAGTGATGTGGAGGGTTTGTGTAGTTGGTTGTTGTTTTACTCTTTACTCTTTTGGAGACCTGTCACCCAGCTCTCAAATAAATCACACACAAAGATTTAGTCTTAATTATAAATGTCCAGCCTTAGCTTGGCTTGTTTCTAGCCAGCTTTTCTAACTTAAATTATCCTGTTTCTCTTTAAGTTTTGCCTCTGGGCTTTTTACCTTTCTTTATTCTATATATCTTCCTAACTCAACCTCTTGAGTTCTAAGATTATAAACATAGACTACCATGCCCAACCTTTGAGTGAATCTGTTAAGACATTAAACTTGAAACTTAACATACCACATGGAACATACTATATGCTCCAAAAATACTAATGACGCTTAATCCAGAATAAACCTTTTGTGATAATGAAGTCCACCACAAGATGTAAAGGTTAATGTAGTTCCCCACCAACCAGAGGGTAGTTGTCTGGAATTTTCATATCCCAAGAAATGCTGGAGGCCAAAGAATTGTAGTGTAAAGGCTAGGTATAAGTCATTAGTCCTTTGCATAGTAAATGATTATACTCTGACTAAATTATGACCCTGAACTCATGCTCTAATTAGCTGAAACAGTGTGCATAGAGATGAATGCTGCATAAAATTATGCAAATATAATTCATAAAGCAAACTCTTGTCTGATCTAGATAACTCAACCTTATTTTTTTCTAATCTCAAGATTTAGGGAGAATAAGCCAGCAGCATCAGGAGGCATCATTGTTGTCATTGTCATCATCATCATCATAATCATCATCAGCAGGCATATGCATAAATGGGACACTCAAATAGCTTCTCTTTGAACCAATATCAACTTGTTTTAGAGGTTTCCTGTCCTTATACATTTTAATCTCTTAAAGTTGTTCTCAGTAGTAACCCCTACCCCCAGTGTTAAAGGGAGTTCTGTAGATTAGAAAATCAAGTCCTTCCACAACAGCCTTCTTGTTTCAGGCTCTATCTGTGCCTAAATTTAGTATCTAATCAGGCTGTCCTCTGTGTTCCCAGATCAGTGGTTGCTACATTCCTACCACCATCAAGGTGATGCTGTTGATAGACTCCAGGTTTTGGAGCTTCAAAACTAGGACTTCCAGGAGGATTTGGGGCACAAATGCAGGGAGCTTGAACTCTTACACATTACTTCCTGCCATGTTATGAGCACAGCAGAAGTAGCAAGACTCTAAGAAAATGGCAGCATGCAGATGGGAAGTTTTCTAGGGCCATGAGTATGATGAGGAAATAGATAAACCTACATAGCATCCTTATCTCACCAGGACATTGTTACAGGACTGGGTATTTGCCAGAGTTAGCCTGCCATAAAGGACTAAGAACTTTTAAATAGACAATTCCAGAGGATTTAAAAACCCAAAGAACAAATCAATGCCTTAGGTTTATACTGATACTACAAATGTAAGTGTTCAGCATGTCTTTGTAGCTGAAGTTTTCCTGGTCCTGTCTGGCTCACGGTCAGGACAAATCTCTCTCATCTGCCAGTCCCATAGCCATTCAGACCCAAGTAAACACACAGAGGCATATGTTATTTATGAACTGTATGGCCATTAGTTCAAGCTTATTACTGACTAGCTCTTACATCTTAAATTAACCCATAATTCTTATGTTTAGCCACGTGGCTTGGTACCTTTTCCCAGTTCTGCCTTCACATCTTGCTTCCTCTGTGTCAGGCTGGTGACTCCTGACTCAGCCTTCCTGTTCCCAGCATTCTCCTTTCTCCTTGTCCTACCTATACTTCCTGCCTGGCTACTGGCCAATCAGCATTTTATTTATTAAACAATCAGAGCAACACACATTTACAGCATACAGATATCCACAGCATGTCCTAGCTAGTTTTACCTTATGTAGCTCATAATACTGGGAGGCACCAATTCCCCCTTGTTCTTCAGCTGTCCAGAGCACCAGGCGCAGAGTTCTCTTTGGACGTAGGCCTGGGAAAATAATAAAAGGCATCCTTCAGTTTGCTTTGAATGGGTTTCAAATGGTGGAAATCTCATCTGCACTGTGGAGGTAAACAGGAATCAGAGGCACCTGTTTCTTTCTGATATGACTTCTACTTCAGGGTATGGATGATAACACAAGGGTGCAACTTCAGAGATAACCTCCAGGGCAGGGTAAAAGTGAAAGGTCATGACTAATGTCATTTGCAGGGTCCAGTGTATGGTCATGTTCAGTAAATTATTTATTATACCATATCTAGAAGGCAAAGTGAGGAGGAGCCTAAGAACTCAAAGCCTTCCTAGGCACTTGAATTGAAACCAGATCACTTGGCAGTATTTCAGGAAATGGCGAGAAGGGATCGCCTCTTAGAATGAATCTACCAGCACAGTTTCTCATGATCTCCCTGAGAATGTAATAACTAAGAAGCTGATGCAACATCTGTGGTTACTTATGGGCATTCACTGGAAAATATCAAGTCATTCCCTCAAGGTCAATGAAACTTAATTGAATGAGCCTGCCATTTCTTCACATTACTTTACCAACAGCATGACAGCCACTTTATGCACATGTAATAAACAATATGTATAGATAGTCTCAACTTACTATTTTTTTATGTTGTGATTGTATGAACAAAATATATAGCTATTTAGTAGAAAACCAACTTAGGACACCAAGGTTTGGTCTTTTATTGCACTACAGGTAAGCAATATGATCATCTCTCACAATACTGGATGACAGTAGCAAGCCAAAGTTCCTAGTGGGTCATGTGATCACAAGGGACAGCCATCAGTGCTCTCCAGTGTGTCTCAGAATGCTTGACCTGTGAGTTGCTTAAATGAACTTAGTCCAGTGACTCTCAACCTTCCTAATGCTGTGACCCTTTAATACACTTCCTCATGTTGTGGTGGCCCCCAATCATAAACTTATTTTTTGCTACTTCATATCTGTAAGTTTGCTACTATTATCAATCATAATGTAAATAAATATCTGTGTTCCAGTGGTCTTGGGTGACCCCTTTGAAAGGGTCATTTGACCCCAAAGAAGTTGGGACCCACAAGTTGAGAACCACTGATTTTTGGTCAGGATGTAGCCACCATTGTAAGCTGAAGTGCCTTTGCCTCTATTCTAAATTTTTAATTAATGGTAGACCCGTCACTCCTAGAGCCTTTTTCTGGGTTACCAAGACTGTCCAGTAATCATTAACTACAGGGAGCTATTTTCTCAGTTTTAAAAGTATAGTAAAATAATGCCTTAAATGAGCCACTTTTCTACTAAGAATTAAAATTTCTCCTGGTTTGGACTGATAACTGCTGGTAAATAGCAAAAGCAGAGAACAAAATGAGGACCCACCCTCCTGCAGGGGAACTGTAGGGGATGATTGCAATGCACTTTGAGTGGTGCTGAGGCCACCGTGCTACCACATACCCTCTGCTCCCCACAGGCCACAGCCTGGGCAGCACATGCTCCTGAGACATCAAGCTTCATCTTGCCCACCCCAGGACCGACAGATTCTCCTTGCAGAAGCCTGGTTGTAAGAGTTGTATAGGAAGGAGATCCAGTTTGCTTGAAGAGTACATAGCTGTGAAATCATTTCATGCTGGAGCATTATTAGGTGAAAGAACACAGGCCACAGATGCAGGCAGATCTGAGCTCCTAGGAAGGCCAGGACAAGCCACCTCCTCAGAAAATCCTGGTGACTTCTATACAAGTCTATCCAGAACCCAGCTCACTACTTCTGCTTTGCTCTGGTCCAAAGCTCCAGACCCATGGCCTGGACGTTGCAGCAACCTCTCAATGGTCTTGCTGCTGTGGTTTCCTCTCTCCCTTAGATGATCCTACACTTTGTGGCTAGAAGCATCTTTGCAAAGGTGAAGCCAGACCACATTATTTCTCTGACAAGAACCTCTAATACTAAAAGATTCTGAGAGGAATGGACTTAGATATTAAATTATTTTTTCAGTTACAAGCATGGTGGAGCCAAGTCCATAGAGAGCAGAGGACAATTCTTTGGCTCTCTCTACCATTTGGGTTCTGGGGATCTCACTCAGGTGTCAGGCTTGGCAGAAGTGTCTTTACTCAGTGAACCATATTCACTGGCCCCGATTTATACTTAATTGTTTTAAAAAATGGTATTTTATGTGTATGACTGTTTTGCTTGCACATATTTATGGTACCACTTGTGTGCCTGGTGCCCACAGAGGCCAGAAGAGGGTATCAGGTCCCCTGAAACTGGAGTTACAGATGGTTGTGAACCCATTTTGTAGGTGCTGGGAATTGAACCCTAGTCCTCTGGAAGAACAACCAATGCTCTTAATTATTGAACTGTCTCTCCAGCTTAACATACTTTTAAATTTACTGCTATTTTTCTTGTTCTCGGGTTATTTAGTTCCCTGCAGGTACACAATGAATGCTGGTGAATGAATGCAAAGCTTGATGTGTCCATTAGGATAAAATTCAAAGCTAACTTTCCAGCTACATGTCCTCCTAAAATGTTTCTTCTAGCTCATTTCCAGGAAAGGTTTTATTTATGCCTTTATGGAAAAGGCAGACATATCTAGTAAACCCCACCACTGTTTTGTGACCAACTGATTTTAACCAGAACCGTCTGTGTGACCATAGGTGTGAAACTGCTCACTGGAGCCGGTGAACTCACCAGTGGGTACAAAAGTGAGGACAATGACTTCTCTTCCAGACTCTGTCAGCAACCAATAGTTCAGTAATGAGTAATGCAGAGGATGCTGTGGGCTCCATGCCACCCAAACTAACTGATGACACGGCCAGTCCTGTGAAGGCCCAGTGCAAGTCACCGCAGTGTGGGGGGCCATCCCACCTCCACTTTTCCCCAGGGAACGCTTGAGCAGGAGCAGCAGGAAATATTAGATAGAGGTGTAGAGGGGAGAGAAACAGATAGAAAATACAGGATAGCCTCGGGTGGGCCTGGATCCTTATCCACAGGCCCAGAACTTTAATCCAAAGGGCTATTTATAACAATGCCAAGGAGAGGGGCAAAGGACCTTCCCCTTGCTAGTTACAGCCAAGTGTAGACCCTTACAAACACCTGGTACCCAGGCCCATGGTCCAATCAACCTCATATGCAGTCCTGCTGGGTACAGCCACTAGGAAGCCTACACTGCAGCATCTGTAATTTCATGATTCCAAGGGCTATGGCCTGTCTAGGGGATGGGGATGGCAAGTCACAGATTTTCTCTCTTTCCTTGTATCTTATATTCTTTCTACCTCTCTAACACAAAATTGCCTGAGCCTTACAGAGACCAAAGAACTATCTTTCTTTACATTTCTCTGCACCTAGCAGCAACATGGTATCCTGAATTATTAAAATGATGGTTTCTTAAACAAGGCTAAACAGACAGTACAGGATACAAAAAAATTCATTTTTTCAAAGTAAATGCTCAGAAGATGTCTGAAGACTGGGTGCATCATTTTAAAGTCATGATCACATAGGATTAGTCTCCCTCATATTTCAAATTAATCAGAGGGCTGATGATGTCATCATATTAAGGTAGTATGGAAGTAATCTGTTTGAAGTAATGGATGTGGAAGACTCCAAAGGACATAAGAATATCTGGCCCTAAAAAGAAACGAACAGGGCCTCTTTGAGTCCATGAGATGCCCAATACCCGTTAGGAACATCAGCACCTACTCAGAGTAGAGGGCCCACAGAAGGAAAGGATCCAGGGGTGAGTGGAGGGCACCACAGAATGAAAGGAATCCAGGAGTGAGTGAAGGGCCCCACAGAAGGAAAGGGATCCAGGGGTTCGACAGACGCCCAAGTGACTCAGAAGTCTCCTTCCATTCTCACAGTCTGAGTACCACTAAACTGAGAGAATGGAATTTCATCCAATGACTTGTCCCTTTATCTAATGTGGCATTCAGGTCTTCGGCCCCTTAAATCTACAAGGAACTGTTCACCCCAGAGTCTGAAGGATCTGTATTTCATTCCTGCTTTACCATGTCAGTCTCTGTGAGGTTAGGCTACTCATCTAAGATATCTGAGCCTCGATGGTTTCTTCAACATAATAAGAAAAATGATAACCATCTCATGGGATTGTTAGAAAATTAATAGCATAAGACACAAATAATGTTACCTAACACATTAATCTGCCATAGTTAATGGTAAATAGCACATGTGTCAGTCACAGTTAATATCATCTAATACATGTGTCAGTTATAGTCACCTAGTAAGTGTTCAAGGACTGTTTCTTAGCTCTTCTCTGTCTAATTCTAGATGTCTTTGTACCTGGTGACAAAAGTCTCCAGAAAGGGAAAGCCAGGACAAAGTCTCTTGCTATGTCTTTTCCTCAGCAGCCTTAGGACACCTCTGATGTAAAGAATCCTCAGTCAAGAAAACTCAGATTTCATTTAACCTGTAGAAAACAGCTTCTTTTAGTAAACCCCTCAGAGTGAGCAGGTTCAGTGAGCAACTTCCTCACTCTTAAGGCAAGGGTAGTCAGAAATACATTTCCTGGATGAGGTCAAAGCTTAATACATCAGAAGCACTGAATGAGATTAATATATCATTTTAACCTTAATTTAGTTTAAAATTTTAATTTAGACAATCTTAAACTCGAGCTATTTTTTATTTTTCTTTTTATTTGTTGATTGTATGCGCACGCGCGCACACACACACACACACACACACACACACACACACACACACACACACACACACCACAGCATGCGTATAGAGGCCAGAAAACAACTCCTAGGAGTTTGGTTTTATCCTCCCATCATGTGGATCCTGGGGATTGAACTCAGGTCATCAGGCTTAAAGGCAAGTGTCTTAACTCACTGAACACCTTGCTGTTGCCAAGCTAGCTTTAAAATCCACATTTTTCAGTATATAAAACAACAGTATCCACATCTATGGTAGGCATAAGTCAATAGCAGCAGCAAAGATCAAAGATCAAATTCTGCAGAAGAGAGGGAGCAGACAGCTCCAGCACAGTGATGCTGTATCCCAGTTCTGGGT